CGTTTGCCCGATGTAGATCCTGCCACATACCAGAGGTATGCCATATACCACACAGGTGATGCAAGAAATAAAGCAGACACCGTGTTTTATTTTGCACCCAGTTTTGCTACTACCGCAGGTGCGGGAGCACAACTTCAAGAGTTTGTTGGGCGCAGAGAATACCAAGGAGACCCCATGCCTGTTAGCAACTCTCTTGAGTTGATGTGTGACCTTATGTAAATAAGGTATCACAACAGGCCTGAACGTATCACGTTCACATGTCGCCTTCTTTCTTGTTTTCCTTTTCTGAAGCAGGGCTTCAGCTACGGCTGTAAGGAGCGTCATAGGGTAACCTGCAGCCAAAATACGGCGTACCTGATTTTCAAAACTCTCCTGCATTTTATGAGCGCACGACTTTCTGAGAGCTGAATCTATGCAGGTTGAGACTATTCCTCTTTTAACCACTTTCGAGTGGGCCGACTTAAAATGTAACAGCTCCTTCTGTACACGGGGACTGTAAGCCCAACACACATGCCGGTAACATACCTCTAGACTAAGGTCAAGAGCTTGTAAGACATTTTCCTGGGGCAGCTCATGCGTGAAAGTGAGCCCTTGTCCGTGTTGCTTAAAAGCATTTAAAACATCAGTCACCGTATCACTGTAGTCAGAGCCAATATTTAAAAACACAATAAAATCATCTACATATCTAAAAATCATCTCTGCGCCCAACAAACTCTTGAAGTTGTGCTCCCGCACCTGCGGTAGTAGCAAAACTGGGTGCAAAATAAAACACGGTGTCTGCTTTATTTCTTGCATCACCTGTGTGGTATATGGCATACCTCTGGTATGTGGCAGGATCTACATCGGGCAAACGGGACGTTGCATAAACGAGCGTCTTAGGGAACATGCGCAAAAAATAGTTAACAAGGTAGACAAAGGGGCACATCTTGTTGCTCACTTGCAATCCTGCATTGGATGTTCGCCACGGTTTCAGGATACGATGATTCTGGGCAGGAGCAGGAATGAAGATGCAAGACTTGCTTTGGAGGCTTATCATATTAAGAAAAGCGGAGCTGACTGTATCAGTGATACTTCCGTTTCTTTGCATGCCATCGAATATGAATTTTTGCGTACACATCTTGGTTAAGATATCGTGTTCTACAAGTGTAATATGACAACACGCGTGTACATTCAGGTGTGTGGTGTGATGTGTTAAGGTTTAGGAATTTTTCGTTTTTACGTATACGATACGAAGCTGTGCGTGCGCATGCAATGTATGTGGTTTCGGCATATATATGCGTTGCTGTGTGAAGAATAAAGTAGTTGTTAGTTTGGCGTCAATCTGTTTCTTTCCTCGCCTTCTTTTTTCCTTTTTTCCGTATTGTTTGCGCCAAAGAAGTTAACTTCTTTTTTGTGCTATGTACCAACTAGACCCAACGCAAGTTTTGATAAAGCAAAGAAGGTGTTTTCTGACTTGTTTGCAGGATGCAGCAGATCGGGGGGGGGGGGGGGTTTAGTGCGCGACAACTTGCTTTATCTGTAAGCGTAAATACTATCGCGACAAATGTTCGCTGTCCGCAACTGCGCGCTTATGTGTACAAACGAGCGCTTGGCTTTTGCGTGTATACTCGCGAGCAGCAGGGAGATCGTAGTTTATTTCGATTTGGCTACCTAACACGTAAAAAAAAGAAAGGCTCATGCATATTCCATATAGTACGGATCATATCCCGTAATACAGGAATGACTGAGCCCTACTACACTCTAAAAAAATATCGAGTAAAAAAGGGTGTCTTTTTGTCCCACAACAATAATCGTCATCAGGCTGGCGTGCGCTTCCTTTCTTGAAAACTTGGCGCTGGCCACTTTCCTATCGAGAATGCAATGTAACCCTGATAATGGGCATGTCGATCGTGACCGGAATGTACCGGGCGCGGGGTGATAGCGCAAGGATGGAACGCAATATAGATGACGATTATTGTTGTGGGACAAAAAGACACCCTTTTTACTCGCTCTTTTTTTAGAGTGTACGAAAACATTTTTCCCGGCGACTGGCAAAACATTACAATCGCATCACGCGTTGCATCTACGTCCTGTCGTTTGTCTGTTGTCTATAGCATTTGCGCTAAACACCATTGTGGCCGACTTGTTCTGAATCTCCCAACTATACGCCTCGGTGGAATATTGGAATCGGGTGTTCGGCTGCTGATCCGAAGATCACCGGTTCGGTACCGGCCGTGGCGGTCGCTTTTCGACGGAGGCGGTATGGTAGAGGCCCGTGTTGTGTGCAATGTGAGTGCACGTTAAAAAACACCAGATAGTGAAAAGTTTCTGAGCCCTCCACTACGGTGTGTCTCATAATCATATCGTTGATTCGGGATATGTTTAAAAAAAACGTACCCAACAAGCAACGTTGTTGAAAATATCAACAAACATGTATACGTTCCCGTTGCAGCGAAAATTGGACAACTTACATGCCGCGAAAGCTTATTGATTGATATGTGGAGTTTCACGTACCGAAACCACCATATGATTATGAGAGACGCCGTAGTGGAGGTCTCCGAAAATTTCGACCACCTGGGGTTCTTTAACGCGCACCCAAATCTGAGCACACGGGCCTACAACATTTCCGCCTCCATCGAAAATGCAGCCGCCGCAGCCGGGATTCGAACCCGCGACCTGAGGGTCAGCAGCCTTCCGCAAAAGCTCCTGGAGCTGTCTGTAACAGGAGTGCATGCACCTGCACTGCAGTCCTGTGAGATGTCGTTCGGCACGACACGATAGCGCGTGAAATTTTATGGGCGTGATCGGAGGGCATGTTGCAATCGTAGCTCTGTTATGTGTGGTAACGTCTTTTTCACTGTTACCTAATGAATTCGCTTGCTCACTTTTGACATTTTTCATTCGTCGCGTTCATCCGATTCCGTTTTGTTGAACCTCCTACTGATTTCCTCCTTATTCTGATTATCTCATTACACTTGATTATTACTGATTGTACTAATTTCGAATGACTGTTTTGTCGTGTGGTGGGTTACCTATGCAGAAGCCAGCAGCTTATTTTTTTCCATCTCTTACGAGTTCTTAATGTAGAATAATGTAGTTTGCATGATGCTATCGGATTCATGCGTTGTCTTCCTTGGGTACACTGTGTGTGAGAACGGGGAGCGGGGAATTATGAAGCTGATTTTTTGGGCGGCTTTTTTTTTTCACTGTTGGGCCTCTCAACATCTTTTTCCAACGAGCAGCGATGTAGACTCAAACGAACTGAAATGAAGCTTAATTGAAGAGCAGGTCCGCATATTTCGACCCCGCTACCTGAAGTTTCGTTTTCGAATTAATTTAGCTGATTTCGTCAAGGCAGATGAATTAGCAAGACGGTAAAAGATCGCCATGCGAGTAACACCAGGTTACAAGATATGGCCATATGTTTTACTGAAAATGGCAGTCTCGCTGTTCAAAAAGCCCATCTATCGCTTACCACTGAGAACACGTGACCAACCCTCAGCCGTTGTTCCCAGGTTCCCACTGGCTAGCTGTAACCTTGTACGACCAGAGCCTGAGTTGGTGTTAAGAGACGACCGTTGGTCAGTGGCCATCACAATATAACTTCCGTCTGCTTCATGCAGTAGTACTGCGCGTGACACGACTCTCAGACATCTTGAAATGTGCGCGCCCCAATTTTCGCAAGTTACTCTGAGACAAAGCCAGAGTGTAACAATTCACCTGCAGACTTTCTCGCATGACCACAAGAGCCTTGAGCTGCTGTTTCAGTGCTAAAGAAGTGCTAGAACTTTCCGCTGACAATCTGTCGTATTTGTAGGGCGTCCGCGGGGTTCCTCACTTAGGAAGAGAAGATTCCCCGCAGTCCCCTCCCCACAAATGGGCGAATGCAACCTAGTGTCGCAATGAGTGCAATAACGGATATGAAGCAATGATTCGCTGCTCGCAGTCGCGTGCCCTTGGTCACCAGCTTTACCGGGGTAAATGTTCTTGGAATACAATGTCTGCCACCGTCGTCAAAACATACTGCTCGGCCATTGAACTGAACGTGCGGCTGGCCGGCTCGGACATGATAAAAATATGAAGCTTACTCACTCCTCCCCCCCCCCCCCCCCACTCACTTCGCGTACGCCTCTTGTCTTACCAGTCAACATGCCTCAACGAGTATGCATTTTGGGTATAAAATTCAATCCGACTTGTTACAGCTGTAGCTCATTTTCTCTGCCTAGGCACACGGAAAATTCAAAAGGTGCAAAAGTAGCTAGTTTTACTGTTTTGCTGCTGTACCTCGAATGAAGGGGAGCAATTATTTTTGCAGCAGGCGGCCCTGACCACGCAAATGCTGCCGAAAATAGCTCCGCCCGAACGCCACCTGCTACGAAACGCAGTGTAGTCTTGGATTCATTACATTGAGTAGCAATACGTTGCGCTTCATCCAAATTACTTCGACTCGTACATTTCACATGCATAAAACCATCCTGGCATCACGAAAGAAGGTTGGGAAAATTCGAAGCACTCTTCAGAACACGTCGGAGTGCACAAGGTCTCCGAAGAATCAGACAGCTATTCGTGCCCCGCCGCGGTGGTCTATAACGTACTCGGCTGCTGACTTGCAGGTCGCGGGAGCGAATCCCGGCTGCGGCGGCTGCATTTCCTATGGAGGAGGAAATGCTGTGGGCCCGTGTGCTCAGATTTGGGTGCACGTTAAAGAACCCCAGGTGGTGGAAATTTCAGGAGCCCTCCACTACGGCGTCTCTCGTAATCATATGGTGGTTTCGGGACGTTAAGCCCCACAAATCAATCAAATCAGACAGCTATTCGTGACACTTCAGCGGGCGTGTGCTCACTGACTGCGCGCGTGTGGGATGCAGCTCGCCACGAGGCAGCTCAGTGGACGAATATGTATACGCCATATACTGTCAGATTACGTGCTCTGTTTCACGTACGTCATGTGGACTGTTTTGTGTGTACGTCATTGGGATACGAGCGAGGCACCCCGAAGCGCTGGCCGTGCGCAGACGTACCGAAAAAGTGCACCGTAAGTTGGGTGCACTGTCCCTCCAGGATGTCCTGCTCTGCCTGGGAGTCCGACATGACCAACCAGTCACTGCCATTCAGCATGGTGCGCATGTGGTCCATGAAGGCCCCGCTGCAATTAAAAGGGCGTCCGTTGGCAACATACCCGATCAGGCGTACTTCAGCTCCAACACAAGCACATCACGTAAGCATCGCACAAGTCTATTCACATCACTGGGCGATCAGATGACCGCTCGAGCGTTTCAGAGGCACGCTGCTCTCGAAAAAAATCGGCTCACGAAGTGCAGATGTAGCCAGGAGTGATTGAGGAGCCACTTCCGGCTTTTTCTGCGTCACGTGTGACCTTTATGTGTTTTTAATACAAAGGAAATGTCGGTCACTGCGGGAATGCGATATGCTGTTCTACATTCTATCAATGTATTCTTATAGCATAGTTTTTATGTTGTATTGTTAATATTTTGAACCAGTTATTTTTATTATTATTTTTTGAATTGAAGCAAATAATTTCGCGTGCAGGCAGCGCTGACTATACTGCCGCGTTTTCTGAATCAAAGGGTATAAAAGGGTGTACGAGTATGGTATATAAGGAAACAAAAAAAAAGGAAATGGCACAAGTTACACACACACACAAGAACAAGTTTTTCTGAACAGAACAAAATATAGACTTTTCTGTGGTAGTACAAAATGAGCTTCTGGCACACAGGAGACACAAAACACAGAACTATGAGTACACAAAAGTATTGTCCGAGTGTTTCGTCTTTTTTCTTGTACACAACTAATTAAACCGAGAAACAATTAAGCACAGGAAACCACAGGGAACATTATTCTTAACTGTATTGTAATGATTCCCACTTAAGTTGAAGGAAATTAAAGTAGACAAAATATCACCCTTTTCGTCTGGGAAATCCAAACCCGCAGCCTTTGAATTACGAATTATGAATGTATTGTTAACGAGAACTATAACAAACATTAATACGCCTAATGTGTCTGACAGAGAACACGAGCCCCTTGAACTTATACTTCTTTCCTGAATTACGTGTGATTCCATGATGACAGTCTCATTTTTGTATTCATTTGTGTTGTTAGCTATGTAAACCTCTGAAGAATCAGCAAACAAGCCTTACTTTATTAAATTTGTTGCTTTCTTTATCTCTCAACGATTACAATGATGTGCCGTCGTGTATCCTGCTTGTGGCACATGCGCTGACAATTTCCGCGTCTTCCATTGACAAGTGTACCGAATTCCTCCCAACTCGTCTCCAACCCTTCGGGAAAAGCGTCCGCTAACCACTCTCTCGGTTAACTGAAACTCAATGCGAAACGTGAGCGTGCGACGAGAACGAAATGACTGTGATACAAACGACGACAATGAAGCCGCGGGACACCGTCTTGCTTGACTGACATTTTCTGATTACTCACGTCACCAAACCTTAGCAGCGTTAAAAGGATCAGCCTGACGGCAGAAAGTGTCATCGTCGTCACCATATCAGCGCACAATATATTGTGTTACACAAATTACTGGCCCGTTGAAGAAAAAAAATTAAAGCAGCTTTGCAGTCAAGGAACAGCAGAGCTAGACATATTTTCTTAGCAGACATACACTTAAGTCTATAAACATAGACACAGACGTAGACATAGACATAGAATGGCGCCTCGCCAATTTATCTCTCCGGCTTTTCTCCCTCTCGACTTCTCTTTCTTTCTTCCCAACACGTTGCGAGGCGACGCATGGTGACGTAGTTGTCGCTCGGCGAGGGCTTTTTTTTTTTCCTGCGCGCACCTAACTCTTGTAACTCCAGCTTACGCAGCTTCGCTGCTATATAAAGCCCGCATTTATGTGGCCTTTTTCCATGTAAGCCCATTTCCATGTAAGCCACAGTGTCCCGTAATCCATGCATTGAAGCGTTATGCGGGGACCAGTTCGCTGGAAAAAGTCGTGCAACTCGGTGCCGCAATGCCAGTAGTCAGGACTTGAAGCAGCTCCGTTGATATAATAACGAATCGCCTCACGAATAACAACGATCTCTGCAGCCGTTTGGTGCAATTAGGCGACCGAGGTGGAAGCGTTTACTCTAATCTACAAGTCCGGTACGATGAGTGCCTCGGTTGAAGCAGTTGGCGACACCGACCCGACAGTTGAAAGATCCATAGAAGCGGCACATTCATCACATCACATCGCTTTGTTTCCTTAAAGACCCCTCAAGGGGGTATTACATAAGGGGTTACATATACACAGGAATATTCGGTGTATATGTGCGACGAAGCAAAGTCTTTAAGGCTGCGTGATGATATACGTGATCCTTTAATGACTCCGAGAATGGATGCGTCACGAGACAGTCGGGCTAAATTCGTGTTTTTTTTTTTCATTTTTCACGTATGCCACAGGGTCCAGGAATCTAAAGGAAAATATTAGTGTGACCAGTGGCAGTGGCCATACATGGTGAATGCAATAAATGCCTTGTGTGACTGCAGGGCGTTCGTCGCTAGCCATATTTATGCTCGTATATGTTCTATATATGGGACTTCCTTGAAGTACGTGACGGTGATATGTCATTCTTGTGGTTTCCGAATGATTAGATAGATAACTGCTTCCATTGCGCTCTACAGTTCAGCTGCCGCGCTTGATAGTGCATGTTCAAGGTGACAAACTGACCAGAGGACCTAACGTAAAAGCCGAACTTTCTAGAGGGCAAAACTCAGCAGCGGTGGCACGGCAGGGAGAGGTTACAGGGCGATCTGAAAAATTACACCGTAAGGCATGCTTTTTTTTCTTTTTTCATGCTTGTGCCAGGAATAGAAATAGACTGGCGGTTCTTTTTTTTTGTTTGACAAAAAATGTATAAAACCTAACCAAAGCATGGAAGAACTTGCTTGTAATTCCAATTGCGGTCTGACACTCACAGGGAAAAGTAAAGTAAATACAAGTTGCCACCTGTGAAACCCGAACTCACCGACGGCATTAACAGAAAGTTGAGCTACACCTATAGTAGTTGACAAGCTAAGAATAAAGAAAGTAAAGTGTACCCCTATCCATTTATTTTACGCACGTATAGTTAGAGCTGCCCTTTGCTATGCCGTAATGGTTAGAAAGTACCAATTAAAAAATTACTCTTATCTACAGGTGCACAGCGTCAGCATCGCTGGTCCTCATACGATGCAGTTGAACGTTGTGATTGCCCCTCCGCGGTGGTCTAGTGGCTAAGGTACTCGGCTGCTGACGCAGGCCGCGGGATCGAATCCCGGCTGCGGCGGCTGCATTTTTGATGGCGGCGGGAGTGTTGTAGACCCGTGTGCTCAGATTTAGGTGCACGTTAAAGAACCCCAGTAGGTCGAAATTTCCGGAGCCCTCCACTACGGCGTCTCTCATAATCAAGGTGGTTTTCGGACGTTAAAATCCTCATATCAATTGAAGTTTGTGATTGCGCCGCCTTTGACGTGCACCGAAACTGCAGCAGCTCGGAGTGTTACGCAACGATTTATCGCGTTCCATTGTTTCCGCATCGTGAAGAAGCAACACGATGGAGGCATGAAAAACAAGGGCATTGCGACCTTGTGGGTGGAGTCTGTATTTGTTCTTAGGCTGTCACCGAATATTGTGTGGATTCACGGCAGAAAACAAAAAAAGTAAGATCTGCAAGAACGGACACAATAGACTGGAAACAGAAACACAAATGTTTGTTTTGTAGATATATATACTGTCTGTGGCTCAGTTAATTTTGTGCACGATAAAAACCGACGGCAGCCTGGTTGGGCTCTCAACAATGCTCCCAAATTGTTGTTTCGTCCTTTGATTTTTCTGTCCTTTATAAATCTTATACATAAATTGAAGCTACAAAAATTAATTCCCTTATGGCTTGATTATCTTCATTATTTGCTGGTTTAGTATGATTATACCAGGAATGTGTAATATGATGCACGAGAAATGACGCATCCGTAAGGCGGAAAATTCAAAGGCATGAGCTGCTCTATATACAGCAACTGCGGAGCAGAGATTCCTTGCACGGCTCGCCGAAAGCGCATGCCAGCGCAATTTATGCGTCATAGCAAAGTGCTCCCAATATAGTTTGCATGCATTTCGAAGCAGAGACAGTATATATAGTTCGTGAGCTCTTCAGGCGTCAACAGGTAGCCGTTCTGCTTAATCCGCCGTTCCGAAGGAAAACACTACTTGTGCAGTATACAAGGCATACGCATAAGGAATTAAATTGCTATGCGCTGCATCGAGTTTATTGATTAGCCATAACTCCGGCTGCACGACTTGTCGAAAGACGTGCCCTTTTTGCCCATTCTCTTCCTTTTAATGCACATTCCCCTTCTCAATGCTACTAAAATGACAGCACTATTCTCTTTCAATTATTCTCCTCTCTCACCCTTTCGCACCTTTTCCTGCAGTATTCGTAGCTGGAAGTTCACGATCGATAGCACGTGTGCGCCCAGTGCTGCCCTATTATTTCGTCCTGTTATACACATCGTCGAACTTCGTCCAAAATAAGGTACAATGGCTGAAGCAGTGTCGCGGTACATGAAGAACTACGAAGAAGAAGAAGAAAAAAAAAGAAGGCGGATACGGACAGGGCAACTTCATCAATTAACGCATTTTTTTAAAATATGAAGCGATATGTTCCACAGTTCGTCAGCTCCCCGTCTTTAACTATGCACCCGAATGAGTACGAATAATAAATATTGAAGGAAGAATGAGTTTCGCCTTCAAGAGTGGGTCGCGATAGCGTAATCATGCCTTGTGCGCATCGCCTTCGGAAGTGCTAGCGTACTTCGGTTCTCGACGCATGCCTCAACCGTGCCTTGAGGAAACGAACGACTGGGCCCGTAACATTGGTCGTTTCAAAGTGTTATTTAATGCCTATTGCAATTAAGCACTGTGGAGCGGTGCCCACAACGCCATAATTATTTCTTTGCAAATCAGCGAAGGGCGTCCGCACGTATCAGCGTCCGTACACGCGAACCTACGCAGCTGTTCACTTTGTTGATGGTTCTGCTGATGACGGCGATTAAGTATGTCTGAGTGCTTCATAATGGGTGGTCCTTTAAATCACCCTCTGCACGTTCACATCCTTTGACGCATAGCGCGACACGTTTCTGCCACGCAATATA